AAACTCTAACTTCTTTAATCCAAAAAAAAAAAAAAAAAAAAACAAAAGAATCAAAGTGGGCAGAAGAAAAATAAGAATATATTTATTCCACCTTACATTTTAATTCAAGCCCTTGCCCTTGCATATATATAGACCCTAAAGGTGTAAAATATGAAAATAACATAAGTGTTTATTTACATAATTGCGGATGAAGACCTAGGTTAAAAAAAAAATTGAACCTTATTTAGCAGAGGAGAGAAAAGCCAACGATTGAAGTGTTGTGAGATCTAGATACACCAGTTGATGTGATATTATATAAATCAAACAGAAGAACGATCGACGACGAAGCGAAAAATAGAACGAGAAAAATTTACACCAGAAAATAGTAACACCATAACGAAACACAGATTTACGTGGTTCGGCAAATTGCCTATGTCCATGGAGTTGCAGAGAATTTTACTACTTGAGGAATTTACACCAGTCGATCACCTCGACTTACAAGAGAAATCTCTCACTCTTCATTGCCCTTTCTGTTCTTCTCTCTCTACACCGAGATACACCGAAGAAACTCTAAATCGAGATATATCGAAAAAGATAAACTTACAAGAGAAATAAAAACTAATTTCTCTTCAGCCACAAGCCACTAAGAAGAAGCCAAGGGAGAACAATTTTCTTCTTCTTCTTGCTTCTTCCATCTGCCGTAAGAAACTACCGCTTGCACTTCTTTTTCTCTGCCCCGAGGAAACCTTCCTCTATCCCGAGGAAACCGAAGAAGAACTCAAACCGTGACTTCTAAACCCAAGGAGAGTCATCTGAAGCTTTTATCACGAACAGGAATGAATGGAGAGATGCTTCGCTTCGCAACAGAGGAAGGCGGGAGTAGTGGCGCCTACGGTTTGCGAATCAGCGCCAGGCGGGAACGATCGTGACTGTTTTGCGATCGAAGTGGGAGAGCGGAGTGAGAGATCACGATGTTTCACGATCAGGTGAGCGGAAACGGGGGTAGGACCGGGCTCCACTTTTAACATGAAGCACAAACAATGAGTATCCCAAGCGGCAAATCCAGGTAAGTCCCTCCACTAATTTTAACTAAAAATAAACAAAATATACATTTTCATATATAGATAAAATGATATATATATAT